CGGCTCTATTAAAAAATTGTCTTACACAATTTTATTCAAAAAAACTGTACTTCAGACTAATATACAGAGTAATATAAAGATCTAAGGGGCACTGCCTCTACACCCGTTACCCTGGGACATCAGTTGACAAATCCCGTGTGCCCGTATACTACCACCCTTAACGGTGCGCTTGCGCACTGCATCCGATTCTCATTCGTTCCGAATCCGAAACCATACAAATGTAGAAAACTCGGACCCACTTCGCTTCGCTTGTGTACTAAGTCAGATTCGAACCCTAGAAAATATATCGCTTGTACACTTAGAGATAAAATGATCCCTGTGACATTTCATACCGTCATTTCTCGGATTCGGAACTGGGGGTCTACTCTCGATCTTCGTCTGACATCCGTCCGAAACAATTATTGCCAAGTAAGCAATACTTGACCAAATGAAAAGACGCGTGATGCGAATGAAGCTTCATACTGGATACTTGTCTTTTAATTTTGTCGAATATTGGCTATTTGACAGTAATTGTTTCGGACGGATAGACCCCCAGATACGAATCGGACGTAGTGGACAAGTGCTCTAAACTTCCGAAAGAAACACTAGCTAACCGATGTATACTATGTTGTTAATAGTATATTCGTACGATGAAATAGTTTAAGAAGCGCCAAAGTTTATGAAATTAACAAGGTCGCTTTTAAATTTGTAATAGATGATTCACGTTAACAAGCTAATAATAGTTTTCGGTAAAATATAAATTAAGTTGGTAGAGTAGTATTGCGTTGGCAGCACTTTTCGGAACTGTCAGTATTTCATTAGGTTGTTTTCGTGTTTTTGCACAAAAGTTTTCGGTTTTTCGGTAACTTAGAAGTCTACATCGGCTCGAGTCAAAATTTTTCCCGTACTGAATAGGTTCCATGGCGCGAATCGGGTCAAGCTGCAGGGACACTGGCGTTATTTCACAAACGAATTTAAACCCATTTGAAAAACGTATAAGGTATAGCATACGTGGTGTATTATTGCTCGTGGTCCACCCAGGTGGACATGGGTGAGCCACGGGAAGAACAAAATGCCCGTGGTCCACTCAGGTAGATATAGGTGACTGATTTCCCGTGGTGGACCAGAGAGTTGGTCCACGGGCAAGAAGGAGTTCTATTTAGTTCAGTTGACATAAAAAAAATCATTGGTATATGTAAAGTACCTATTGAATACTGCGGTTTTCTTGTAAAATTTCGAGGTAAGTTTGTTTGTTTTTTCTAACGTGAAAATTTTTAATAAAATACTAATCAGTGTATATCTATATATATTTAAATTTGTATTGAATTGATATTTATGTGAAATTACTCCACTAGTTCGTTATAATTATTAATACAAAGATCGAACACTCAGACAAAAATCCTTCGATCCGGTCGGATTCGAACCGACGTTTTCTAGCATACCGTGTCAGACGCTATAATTATAACAAACTAGTGGAGTAACTTCACAAACATAATTTAATATCAATTCAATAAAAATTTAAATACAATGAATAGCGACATCTCTAGCCGGGACTGGTAGCTGTAAAGGTATCTAACTGGGTGAAATATAATAGATTTCTCATAGATGGCACTACGGCTGAAAAGTCTTTGAAAAACAAATACAAAGATACGACGCAAGCACGTAGAAAAATTCGTGAGGTCCGCTGGTTCGTTCCGTGGCTTAGTTGGTATAGCGTCTGGCACGGTATGCTAGAAGACGTCGGTTCGAATCCGGCCGGGTCGAAGGATTTTTTCCGAGTGTTCGATCTTTGTATTAATAATTTACTACATATTTTTTCCAAAGTGGGTAATTCCACACTTTCGCTGGTTTGCGGAATCAACCAAAACCATTTGAGGTTGTATCGACTCTTAATATAATAAATAAAGCAGTGATATTAACAATTTGAATAAGATTACTTTTAGTTTTGTTTTCTGAGGTTTTATTACCACCCTTTAAGTAATGTGCGTCAACAGGTTAATAAACAGGCTCAAGGAAGTGATAATACTAGGAGGGCATCATCCCCTGACTGCGTTTCCATTGCGCGCCCTGCCGCCTGTTGTGGTTGGCTCGTGACGACTTGTTCTGCTCTTTTCGATTTCTGTTTTGTAATACCTCTTTTTCTTGACCTTGACCTTTGGGTTTGCCTACCACATCCTTTTTCCTGTAAAGAAAAAACCATTCAATCAATTCATATAATTACACAGCTTTACAGTAAAAAATAAAGAGACAATATTAGTAATTCACAGAAGATGGACGCTCATCCATCCTCTCACAACGCCTCAAACATTCAACACACACAGCCACCCTTTCACTTGCAAAAACATCGCAGTCTGGTCATCGCCGGCCCTGTACTCACGTTCTCCGTCCGACATCTGCCCAAAACAATTACAGTCAAATAAGTAATACTCGATCAAATTTGAAGAAAAGATACGAATGATGCTTCATACTTGACATTGTCTTTAATTAGTCAAGTATACTTATTTGACAGTAATTGTTTCGAACGAAGAACGAAAATAGCCCCCTGAACTCCGATTCAGAACTCTTTGATATATTTACCGAATCGTTAGATTGGATATCGTTCTCGAATCGAATTCAGAACATTCGAATTAAACGTTCGATTTGGATTCAAATACGACGTCGTTATCCTACAGCGTTTACGGAGTTAGTTGGTAAAACAGATTATAAGAAAAATGAATAGTTATTTTTGGTACAAGTGCGGAAAGTTAGTCATTATTCACGAGTCTCGAGACAAGTGAAAATGACAAATCCGCACGTGTTTGATACATGTTTTTTAAAACATTTGCGAAAAAACTACATTGAAAGTAAAATAAAACAGTATTTTTTATATCTTATATATATCTCGCGTAATACTCACCTCCGGTCATTGTTAATACTCAATCAGCCATCTTTATGGAAAATATTTTGGTATTTTTAAATGTATAAAATACCTATGCAATTTAAACAAATAAAATGTTTATAAATATAAGTTTTAATGACGAATGACTTACGTCACAAAGCACATAAATATTAAATAAATATACAACCTCTTTAGTTCTATGTTTAAGACTTGAAACAACAGTAAATTAAAAAAAAATCGAAAAGTAAAAAGCACTGGTGCGAAAAATCTAACTTTTGTAGTTGCCACGATTTGTAGTACGAAAAATACCACGTTTTGAGCAACTGTATTAAAAAATCCTTTTATATACATTTTTAAGGCTGTAAAGGTCTAAAATATAGGAATGCATTAGTCTTGCATTAAAATACATTAATAAAATTGAACAAAATCCAGACTTTATTTAAAATAATAAGAGATTTCCATATTACACACTTGCTTTGTAAACAATAGGACGTTTGGTAATTTTCATTCGATAACTGTGTTCTGATTAACGTTTGTAGCCTTTGCCGGTCGAGAAGTTTGAGTAATCGTACGGGTGTGACGTCATTTCGGTTCGGTTTCGAATACGGCAGTTTGACGTTCGTATCGGGTGTTGTGAATAAAAATGAACAGAAGTCGTACGATATCAAATCGAATCCGTCGACAACTGAGTTGTCGTAAGGTTCTGAATTGACCCCCTGATACGACAACCGCATTATTATAGAACGAAGAACCGTTTATGTGTAGCTTGATCTATAGCTGAAAGTTCGAAGAGGTTATTGAACATTGACATTAATGACGTTACGAATACGTACCTAGGTGGCGGCGGTGCGCGATTCTCCTTCCTAGTTTGCTGGGTCGCTTCGCGGCGCGCGCGCATCAGTGCAGGGTTCACGCAGAAGTCCACGCGGTTTTTGTAGCTCGTATTAGGCGTAGAGATACTGGTTGACGGTTGTTCTTCCTCCTCTGACGAAGACTCACATTCCTCCTTAAAGATATATATATTTCTTGTTACTAATTACCAGTGATAAGTTGCTTACATGTAGTGTTGGGTCATGGAAAAATGTCCATTTTTAAAAATTCGTTTTTTCCCGGATATTTTTCCTTTAATTTTCCACATTTGACGTTGAGACCTGTCAAATGTTGAAATTACTGATAGAAAACGATGGAGCCAATACAAAAGGTTCTTTCGCTGTTGTGAAATAATTTGAAATTTCGTTTTTATCTAAGTGGCTTTTAACTGTAGAAGTTTATTTATAGTTCACGCTAAATAAAACTTCAAAAGACATTTCTGAAAGTAACAGAACATAATGCGATCTTTCGAAATAATATTTGAACAGTTTTTCACGAATTTTTCCGGAAAAATTTCCACCATTTGAAATTAACATTACTTACATACGAAACAAGGACCAAGAAATACGACCTCAGTGGCACAACAATTTAAGCTGTGGGCGGTGAATGAGGACGTCCTGGGTTCGATACCCTTCGTTTGCTAGAAGGACCAATGGAAAATGTACGTCTCTAGTGACGATGAGATGACTATATTAATAGCGTCTTAAACTTTTGTTGCATGACTTTTCATAATTCATCCGATTTTACTTTCGTCCAACAATAAAAATATTTAAATATTTAAATTTTTATTGAATTGATATTCAATTATTTTTTGTGAAATTACTCCACTAGTTTGTTATAATTGTTAATACAAAGATCGAACACTCGGAAAAAATTACTTCGATCCGGTTGGATTCGAACCGACGTTTTCTTGCATCCCGTGCCAGACGCTACCAACTAAGCCACGGAACGAACCAACGAACCTCACGAATTTTTCTATGTGCTTGCGTCGTGTCTTTGTATTTGGTTTTTCAACGACTTTTTAGTCGTAGCGCCATCTATGAGAAATCTATGAATGATTTATCACCCAGTTAGTACCTTACAGCTACCAGTCCTGGCGAGAGATGTCGCTATTCACTGTATTATTTAAATTTTTATTGAATTGATATTCAATTAATTGAATTCGAATCCAACCGGATCGAAGGATTTTTTTCTGAGTGTTCGATCTTTGTGTTAATAATTATAATATTTAAATAGGTCACTCTAAACGGTGATAAGGTAACTCTGGTGCAAAACGCAGCAGCGAGAGTGATGGCCGTCGGGGAGAACGCTTGCACGTTTGACCTACCTTACTACCAGATACAGATCTGAAAAGTACCAGATAGTACAACAAAAACTTGAAAGTTTGTTTTTGGTAAATTTATTACGTTCTGTAAAAAGTGATGGATCAAAAGTTATTGTTTATCATCGAGTATATAACCAGAGACGAAATGTCATTTAATGTGTTTGAAAACTATTCTGCCAAATCATTGCGGTGACAACTGCGCTCCGGTTGACCAACCCGGATTCGAAATAATTGACGGGTGTCGTCAATTGTTTCACTTCAATCGACCAGTTTAACTTGAGCTTTGCTATAATGGACGAAAATTGAAAAATTGCCTAATTAATATTTAATTACCGGTGAAATGTGATTCCGTTTGTTTTGTAATTAGATGTTTTGCTGTTTTTCCCACACCACTGAAAGGAACAGCCCCTATTGTTAGATATATTATATTTATTGCAATAAAGACAGAATATTTTTGGAATATACGAAGACGTACACAAAGGTCACTTGTTGGCGCTGTACTATTTCAGCTTTCTAATTTGTGATTTCAGTGCAAACGAGAGTTGATATTTAAAAGTGGTATAAGGCCCATTTGCCTGATAAGTTGCCAGAGATGGCCCTTATTTCGTCTCTATTTCTAGTTATATACTCGATGTTTTTTATGATGTTAGCATTAGCAAAGTATCTTAACTGTTTTACCTCAGCACGTCCCCCGCGCCGCAACAGCACACGCGGCGTTTGGAACGGCCGGTCTTCCAGCTCGTCGATGGTGTCCGTCGTAGGTCCCATGCCGTCCGAGTCGTATGTGTCGTCGTATTCGTCGTCGTATAACGCATCCTCTTCGGCGCAAATAAGACTGAAAAGTTTAATTAAATGGTTTGAGATCAGTCGTTCCATTTGGGAGCTGGGATGGCACACACATAAAGGCCTTATTCAGAGTGGCGGCGGGCGCGGTTGCGGGCGCGGATGCGTGTAAATCAAACGTACGTAGAAGCTCGTTGCGTTCACAGTGGCCGCACGCGTCGTTCGTGTAGATCTATATGACATTTTTGTTTTTATTAGTCCTCCTTGTGAAAGAGTTCTTTCAGGAAAATACTGCTACTATATCTATTTCTGCCGCCAAGCAGTAATGAAACCATTACTGCGTTCCGGTTTTGAAGGGTAAGTTTGCTGGTGAAACTATGAACACACGAGGCTTATCAACTTTGTCTCAGTGGCATTACTTCTCAGATGTTTGTGAAGTAAAGCGTTGGTTATGTTGTTAGGTTATGGATAGGCGTTCGATTACCGCCAGGCGCAGGACTTGTTCGACCCATACATGTTTGTCTGCTCCAGTTGGGTGTGGCCGGGGCGTGTCTCGTGAGCAGCTAGCGTGTCTTAATAGCGGTCTAGTTGAAGCCCTGAAGCGATGAGACGCGCGGGACACGTGAGTTGCCCTTTAAGTTGGAAGCTATGTCCGGACATTGTTGCGACAGGCATCTCAGGCACTAGCCCGGAGAACTAGCAGAGGCTAAGCCAGATATCCTCCGGTCCCTCCAACCACTTAGGTTATTGGGAACTAGTGAGACGTGGTTTTTCGGCGTCGGGAAGTGAGCGTGCTTTACAGCTCCGCCACCAATGAGGAGATTTGGTAGTGGACTCAGAGTCGACAGCTTAGCGGTGGCAACAAAGTGAGCGTGCCTACAGCTCCGGTACCTATCTAGAAAATAGGGAGGGTACTGTACGTGCGCCCGGGGCAGATAACCCGAGGCGCTAGCCTCTCGAAGAACCGGATGAAGTCAAGTGAAAGAGGTCTGTGACAACCCTGTACCCTGGCTGATCTGGGGTCAGAACCTGAACTTGTAAGGTTCCTGTGCGCACACAGGTCGTAGTGTCCTTCCCGCATAACCAAGAGGTTGATAGGGAGGGGCATAACAAAACTTATGTAGAATAATATGGGACTGTACCTACAGATCATTCAGCCTACCATTCAGTTCATACTTACTTGTATTTGTTATATCGCTCCCTAATTTTCTGCAACTCGCTCTTGTCGTCCAACAAGTCCTTTGCGTCCTTATACTTCGACTTTTTCTTCCCGATATGGACTTTACTAGTGTCAATGTCATCACGTGACATTATGTCAAAGGCGTCGCCGTCGAAGACGTTTAACCTCTCAACGCCCGTTTCGAGGAACTTGACGTCTAGCGGATCCTCTGGGATTATTGGCAGCGATTTGTCTAACTCTGGAAAGAGAATTAATTGTCTTTTTATTAATTTGCGCGAGTTCAAACTTCAATAGATACACCTTATTGCTCACACGCAAGAACAAAAACAGCTTAAAACTAATGTGGGCAAAGGCGTCCTTATCGCTAAGAGCGATCTCTTCCAGTCAACCTTTGAGATAGATGAAAGCGAATCAGAGCCAGATACGTGGTGTGCCAATACAGAAATTTGAATTGTATAAATAAACAAAAACTTACATTATATTTTATCAGACAATAAATACCGACATAGTAAACCTTAATTACAGAGTGTTCTTTTTATAAGTGGGAGAGTATGGGGAAATCCGAAATCACAAGAGATACAAGGAAACTGTTTTAGGACCCATTTTAAGTCTTTTTTTTTGTGAAAATTATTATAGCATTGTAAATTTTTTGGTCAAGTGTGAGTTATCCATAAAAACTAATAAAAATGACCAAATTTTTTTTAGTGCTGATCGACTCAGTTTTGTTTAAGGCTCATTTCATTGTATAGGACAAAAGATCGGGACATCAGAAGTCAGTAAAATTTCATAAAATGGTTTTCATACAAAATAAATAAAATTGACTTTTTTTTCTAAATGCTGATAAACTCAGCTTCGTATAAGGATGATTTCATTACATGCGAAGAAAAAACGGAACAGCAGAAGTTGGTCAAATCTAATAAAATTATTTTTCATACAAAATGAATAACAGTCTATAAAAATCTGCGTAATAAGCGCCATCTAGTTGATTTGTTTGTTATCACTAGAAATTAGAGCAGATCTAATAAATTACAGCTAATCAATGTAAAACAAATTAGTGATAAAATTAGCTATTTGGTAGTTGCGGCGGCATCTGGTGTGCTAATAGATACTAAAGTTTCTCTTCTAAAGTCTAGTACCGCAATTAGCAGTCCTGTTGAGAAATTAGTCCATGCTATTACTAACGTCGAAATTGATCATAAGAACTATTGAACAATTGTGCCATCTAGTGTTGAGTAACGGAACTCCTAAGCCAAACAGTTAATGTTTGCCAATAGTTAAAAATCTTACCTCTCAAAGGTTCAGCTAAATTGTCTTCCAAATAACTGTTTATAACTTTATCAACTTTAAAATCGTAATACTGCAAGCATTTCAATATAAAACCATCTCCTAACTCCGGTAATATATCTCTCACTTCGCTTATTAGTGACTGTTCCCTCACTTGATGTGGTATTTGGGCGTCTTGGGTATTCGCAGAAGGTCCTGGGGTATTGTTATAAGTCCCTGGGGTTTCACGTTTCTGTTCTGTGATGTCTACAGGACCATTAGGTACGTCGTCTGATGTTTCTGATGATGAATCGCTAAGATTCGTGTTTATTGCTCGGAGAATAAAGCTGGTTTTGACAACGTCTCTGTTAATAGTTAAGGAATTTTTATTCGAAGAATTGGCATTAGAAATAAAGGGCGCTTCGAATCCTATGCTATTTTTTTTAATAGACACACGTTTGGCCGCTATCTCACTTGTTGTCGAGCGATGACATGACCAAATATGATCACACGGTTAAAAATGTTTCACTATGAATAGCCCTAAATTGTGCTTTGCGGGAAAGACAGATGACATACAAAGCAATATTTTGTAGTCTATTGTGTTAAACCAAAACACTGCAAGGCGCAATATAGTACCACGATTTCGTTTAACTAAAGTAAACGATGCCGAAACGCCGAGGTAATTAAAATATGTTTTATACGTGATTAAATCCCGAATTCTTCTATATTAATTATAACTGCCTCCGTGGCCGAACGGTTACCATGCCGGACTGCCACGCAGAGGCCCCAGGTTCGATTCCCGGGCCGGGAGAAATATTTGTATGGCCTACATTTCTTTCTCTCGTGAGTTTGGGTGTAATTTGTGGTTGTCCATGTGTGTGTCCATGGCACCCGCGACACAGGGTTTTCCCTAGTGCGGGGCTATGTTGAGTGTGTGCGTTATTATTATTATTATTATTATTAATTAAAAATCAAATAATGTGTGAAAATCGTGAAAGTTTAAATCAAAGTAAGGTAAACGATTCTTTTGTGGGGAACTGTGCACGTTTTTACGATAAGATTCCGGAGCATATATTAAGATTACCATTTACTAAGTATAAAATTTACATTAAGGGTCGTATTCTAGAACTCTACTCAATGCTCAAGTCAGGATTGCACTGGAAATACGACCCTAATGGCACGGACTTGAGTATGATTTCGAGTGCTTTAAACCATACTCAAGTCCTGTCTTGAGCATTGAGTAGAGTTCTGGAATACGACCCTAAAAGTACTTTAATTGAAAAATCATATTACAAAATTGTAGAATACAAGTTAGATACAAGATGTATGGAAAGACAACATGAGTCTAGATTCCACACAAATATGATTCAAAGTGTTTTCTATAGTATTTAAGTTCATTTGAAAAGAGCAATCCCTAGAGATTCTTGCTCGTTCTTCTCAAGGACGTCAGCGTAGTGAACGAGCAGTAGCTTAAAAAACGACATTTTCAAGTGTAATATTGTTTACCTATCTAATAAATGATTATTTGACTTTTGACTGTTTTTTGAAATTTCATAACAACAAGAATCTTTCGGCTATTATTAAGGGGAAAAAAATTATTCGTTTTTCAATAGAAATAGCTTATTTTCCATAGTAAAACTATAAAACGTGGACAGATTTATTTAATACCTAACGTGCAATGTAAGATAAATGTATCTTTTTATGTTATTAACCTCAAGGCCTCTCCACACTCGCGAAATCACGGCGCAAATCACGGTGCGGATCGCGGCAAGAACTGCCACAGTTCCACACCCGCAGAGTTTCGCGCCTGATTCACAGTATACTTCGCACGCTTTATGAAGGTAAACGCCGAAGTTGCTGTTGTTGCTGCGGGACTACATTGCCCTTTGGCGATTTACAATTCGACCCCTCCTACGTAAAGTATCGTATGTCGAAATTGCCAAGTTTACAGGGGAGCCTTTTAAAGTTCTGAATTCATTGAAATAAGCATAACACGTAACTTTAGCCTTTCTTAGTTTTATTCGGCAAAACTCGTTACTCACATAGAGTATAATAAAATCCTAGATATCGGTTACATGATCTATTAGATGATCACTCTATGTGAGTAACGAGCTTTGCCAAATAAAATGGAGAACTTTACTGTACCGTAGGAGGAGTTGAATTATGCTTTTACAAAGAAATAACTTATTAAAAAGAAATGCTAGAACAATGAAAAATGTCAGTTCTAGTTCATTTGTCCAATCCACGGTTTAGTTCATCTGTCCCTATCTACTGACCCGAGAGACAAGGTTTTCCGGAGAGACTATACTCGACGGCAAGACCAGGGTACGGCGGGCGTCCGGGCCAAGCCCTCCGCCAGTCTTACGCCTTCACGGGCGTCTCTCGCGGACCCAGAATTGGGTACGGACTTACGGGTTTGTGGTCCCGCGCGCAGCTAGCGCGTCTTAGTAACGGTCTAGTTGAGGGTTGGGGGCGAGTGTGGAGAGGCTATATAAAATACAAAGTTATAATTACATATAGTTTTCTCAAAATGCTGTTTTTTACAAAGTTGTTGATGTACAGTGTTTTGGTTTGAGCCGGTAATTGTAAGATCTCTCGCTTTACAAAAATAATCTAGGACGACCCCTGTGGCAGTACATAAAAATGTACTCAATATGACCTTGTAACGACATGAATTATTGATTTACGTTTTCATAAACTATTTTTATAACCCTCGCTTTTGAATGCGAGATTTAATATATAATACCAAGTGATGGACTAACATGATATGCGTCAGGTGTTAAGCGATACGCCTATCTATAACAGTTGCAATGCTACTCGAAGCTTTAAATCACAAAAAAATCTGAGGAGCACAGCAAATGCGCCCATCATCCTGAGATATAAATCGAAAAATGCCATGTGCCTGCAATTTCACCAACACCCCTCAAAACCGGAACGGAGTAATGCTCTAGTGTTGAGTAGGACATGAAATTAAAATGAGTTTGAGGAAGTACCTCATTTGAAAAAATGAGGCGGTACAATGTCCTACTTCAAATGAGTTGAGGTAGTGGTAAGAAAGTTTGCACCTACGGCAATGACTCACTCAACAGACAGGGAATATTAAGCACATTTTTATAACTTGATGGTATCAAACAATTGGATAACTTAAGTGTTATGATACTCGTAAATGCTAATTTTATTTAGCTCTATGTTAGTATGATCACATATGATGCAAAATCAGGCAGTGAAGGACCAATCATTGTTGCATTTGTTGAATTCGAAGCAGTGTGACATGAGTGAGGCTGTTACATGAGGCTATGACATGAGGTGAGGTGTGAGGTGGGACATTTTTGTGACATAAGGTGTTGTGACAAACTAACCAAGCTAGTTGTACAAACGAGTTGCCTCGTGTATGAGTAACTCAACACTATAATGCTCACATTACCGCTTGGCGGCTGAAGTAGGTAAGGTGGCAGTACTTCCCTGGACGAACACATTCACAAAGAGCTGTACTGCTAGTAAATGCCATGCTGAAGTGTGGGACAGGTTTGCCTTCGTAATGAAAGGATTTACCCATTGACTTACAATTATATGGACGTCGGGTCCGCGCTAAAAAGTGTCCGAACTTATAGGGCGTTAAAATCGTATACAGAGCGTCATTCACGCTCTAGTCTTCGTTTGTTCGACTGACAGCGAAGCAAGCAAAATTAGACAGTACTGCGATGACATTACAATTTAAATTCAACGTTTTAGCTTTTTCATATTCCTTGACATGTCACTACGTTTAAATAGGTTGACTTGGGACATTTTTTTCGTGGTTTTTGTATTAGACCCGTCGTCCATTTATTTGTAAGTCAATGGATTTACCCATCAGCGTTGTGTCAGAGGTACAGACGACATGAATGGTACGCCATTGCGAGGAGGTTCCTTTCGTGCACTCCATAAGTATAATTTATTTCACTTATCATAATTCCGGTGACGTTTGAGATTTGAAGTTTCTAGAGATGTAGTAATGTAATATCGAATGATAAACAGTCGATTTCAATATCTTATCGAGATAATTTGTATCGAAGAAAGAATCAATTTACACAAAATAATTTAAGAATAAATAACAAACAAAATAAAAAGGATTCAATTATTATGTTATTTATGTACCAAAAAAATTACACAACATGTAAAAAATCAACAACGACAAAACAAAAAGTCAACATCGAAGCATACAATCAACTGCAACGAAATGAAATTTGAAGTATTACTCCAAAAACAACACGCAATGCTCAAAACAAAAAAAGTCCCGCGTACAAGGAGTCCGACCCGACGCGACATGTACGACAGCCGATTTGATTTATCGATTTTATGGTGAAAATCTCTACGGATAACTGTTCAGTTTTAAGCATCAAATCCCAATTGGGTAATTTATTTTTATCTTTATCATTTCATTTTCTTTTTATTTAATATACTGTAATAATTATTTAAAATCATAATTCACAAATATTTTTTTTTTATAACATCAAGTGACATGAACTAGTCGTGCGCCTGATGGTAAGCTGCACGCCTGTCCACAACAGTTACAGTGCCACTCAGAGCTTTCAATTGCAAAGATCTGAGGGGCACTATCACTGCGCCCGTCACAAGAGAGACATAATTTGACAAGTCAAGTCAAGTAATTTCACCAGCACCCTTACCCTTCAAAACCGGAACACAGTAATGCTGACATTACTGCTTGGCGGCAGTAATATGTAAGGTGGCATTACTACCCTGGACGAACTCTTTCACAAGGAGTTCTACTGCTTGTATTTGGTGCATTATGACAAATTTACTATTTCGTGTTGTAACCTGGTTGAGAGATTTGTTAGAAATAGAATGCGTGCAACGTAAAAATTTGAAATGTCACAGGACTCATTCTATGCGAAATGGACTATAAAGTTGTATTCTGACTTAAATGTAACATGTTAGCACGTAAAGGATACATTTCTGGGTAAGCCTGTTTTAACATTTCTATATCTTCATGGAGTGGATAACATACGTTGTAATCTCGTACGAGCAAACGTTCCGTAAAACCCTCCAGTAGTATGGTGAGGTAAGACTCTACGTGCTGCGATATGTTGCCTCTGCAATTGAACGAAGTTTATTTAACATGGTACAACTGAAAAACGCACGTAATTGGAGTGACAAAAAAGATTTAAAAAAAAATAACGTACAGTCGAGGCTCTAAGATGACGCTTTCAACAATAACGCGTACACATATAATAATAACAGGAAAGTGTAAAATAATTGTAATGCTCTAAGATGACGCTTTCAACAGAAAAGTGTATTCCAGCCATCGACTGTACAACCAGAAATAGAGACGAAATGTCATTTAATTTGTTTGAAAACTATTCTGCCAAGTCATTACGGTGAAAACGGCGTTCCGATTGGCCAGCCCGAATTCGAAGCAATTGACGGGTGTTATTGTTTCACTTTAAATCGACCAGTTTAACTTGAGTTTTGCTATAATGGACGAAAATTGAAAAATTACATATTTAATTGCCGATGAAATGTGATTCCCTTTGTTTTGTAATTAGATATATTGCTGTTTTTCCCACACCACCGAATGGAACAGTCCCTAGAGATGTTATCTTTATTACAATAAGTACAGAAAGTTTTTACAATATACGGAGACGTACACACAGGTTAGTTGTTGGCGCTGTACTAATTCTGTTTTGTAATTTGTGATTTCAGCGCAAACGAGAGTTGATATTTAAAAGTGATATAAGGCCCATTTACCTGATGATGATGAGCCAAGGATGGATGGCCCATATTTCGTCTCTATTTCTGGTCATATACTCGATAATTCCAGCTTTTTGGTTTCACTTTTTTATTTATGTAATGTAATTAAACATCAAGTTGGTTTAAAAAGTTTCTTATGACGTCATTCACCAGTGATCGGATTAAGGGAGTTAATTTACCTAAAGTATGAACATTTTCTTAGTTTTTAATTCTATGCAGTTTTCTTAGGTTATCTGGCTTTAAGTTTTTCAGTATCATGAACACATTTCGTTGGTCAAGATGAACAGGGTATTACGTCAAAAACACCGATTTTTTCAGGAGAGCTATTTTAAAGTTTCTACTAGAATTATTTTAGTCGCTATTGTTATTTGTTTCTCCTCACCTGTATGTATTTAAAGCCTACAACAGCCTAAGCCTTTAACAGTTTTATCGAATACTTCTTATTCTTATTCAGTTCCGTAGTATTGTTCAGAGACGTCTATAATATTAACCTTTTGAACATAAAATATTTGTGATTCAAAGTTTTAACTAAACTATTCATGTCTAATACTTTTAAATGAAAGAAGGAATAATATTCAGTTCGATACACGACTCTATACAAATTACCATAAAAATTAAATTAAAAAAATATCCCAAAAGAGATATTATAGACCTTGAAATTTTCGTCTTCGTTTTTAAAATAAATATTTTTAAAATACACTTATCTTATAATGATTTAATACCCTGTTCAACGAACGACGACGTCTTGACTACTACAGCTTCGTGTGTAATAATGAATACTACTGTGTTGCTCAATGTTTGGGGCCGAAACGGGAAAAAACTTCAGAGCTACTACCTGCCTCCCGCGCCATTTCACTTCCGACTGTTATAAGACCTTGCTCATTAGAAAGATCTCGATTTTTTTCAAATATGACTCCATTTTAAAGAAAAATGTCTAAATGTTTAGTTGATCTCCTTCCAAGGCAACGATTTATAACCTACATGGAATACTGTTGCCATCTTTGGGCGGGAACTGCCGGATGCCAGGTTGGGCCCTTTGACGTGGTTCAAAAACGTGCTATGAGAATTGTTGACGATCCTGTGATTACAGACGATATTGAACCACTGTCTACGAGGAGAGACTATGCCTCCCTATGTTCTATCGCCTGTACAATGGCTAATTTTCTGAAGAACAATTTGACATCATGTTAACAGCAATATTTTATCATCGCTACGCTCGCCACCGGCAGGTGCAGGTCCATCCTCACATTCTGGAACCGAGTCGATCTCGTACTGCAAGGTTTCAGAGGAGCTTCCTCCCACGTACAATTAGGTTGTGGAATGAATTCCCTGTCGGAGTTTTCTCGCAGGAATACAGCATGGAGTCCTTCAAAAGTACCGCCTCTCGCTTGAGATTGGTGTAATTCACAGGTCGTGGAAGCTTGCAAACATGCAACCTGTGCCGAAAAAGAGAAGCAGAGCTGACCCTGTCAATTACAGACCTATCTCAGTCACTTCCATACTCTGCAAGACTACGAACCGTCTCCTGTTGTACCTTGAAGACAACGACCTCCTCAGTGATCGCCAGTACGGATTGCGACGACGGCGTTCTACTGGGGATCTTTTTGTGTATGCCTGTCACATATGGAGCGAGGCTATAGAAAAGCAAGGCAAAGCACTTGCAGTGTCTTTGAACATTTCTAAAGCCTTTGACAGGGTCTGCAATGCAAGCTTTTTAAGTAAGCTTCCCTCTTATGGGCTCCCCACTGACATTTGCAATTGGATCTCGGATTTCTTGAGCGAACGTTCGATTTGAGTAGCCTGAAAAGGCTACTCTTCCGAACATCTGCCGCATATTAATGATATGTTAATTCCAGGCACTTTTGCGTATGCTGATGACAGCACAGTTGTAGATAGGTACTTCATCAATGCAAGGGTCAGTGGAGAGGAAATCCAGTCTTGTCTATGGTTAGCAGTTAGGATTTGACACTCAAGGCAGTCTCCGATTGGGGCGATGCCAATCTTGTCAAATTTAACGCTACCAAAACTCAGGCATGTCTATTCTCCACAAAACGAAGTCTCTTTGAGCTGACTCCGACTTGTCGTGATGTATCCATACCGACAGCCGAACGTCTCTAGCTACTTGGAATGGACCTATCGTCCAATTTGAACTTCGGCAGATACATTGAATCCATGGCCAAAAATGCAGCAAGGAAACTTGGCATCCTTTCCAGGGTGAGGCGTTACTTTACAGAGGGACAGTTACTCCAGCTGTATCAAGCACAAGTCCGAACGTGCATGGAGTACTGCTGCCACCTTTGGGATGGCTCTGCTACATACCAACTGGCCACCTTGGATTCAATCAACAACCGTGCCAAGAGGCTAGCGCAAGACGCGGACGTATGTTTGTTTGCTGACTACTTAATATAAAAAAATAATAATAACTGGAAATACTCACTCTCCATTGAAAATGTTGTTCTTGTAAACCGCCAGTATCTCTCTGAATATGTCAATTAGTTCAGCTCGCGCGGAGTCTATGAAAACTTCAATTTCAGCGCACTCAGGACTACTATCATTCAGTTCTTGTAGTTTCTCATACAATGGTGGGATACCGTATTCGTATAGTTGTACTATGCTGGAAATGTTCAGTTTTGTGAGGTGAAAACATATAAACAAAATACATATAAAGCGTCGTGCGCATGAACCATCATCTCAAGTCTTTTTTTTTTTGTGAAAAGAATTTTGGCAACGATCGAACACTTAGAAAAAATTCCTTCGATCCGGCCGGATTCGAACCGACGTCTTCTAGCAAACCGTGCCAGACGCTATGCCAACTAAGCCACGGAACGAACCAGCGGACCTCACGCATTTCTCTATGTGTTTGTTTGTCTGGTCTTTGTACTTTTCAGCGACACTTTAGCCGCAGCGCCTATTTAATTTTGGCAAAATCAATTTTTTGGTCAAGGGTGAGTTGTCCATAAAAATGAGTAAAATTTCAACTGTGAACTGGCAATCGGTACTGTCTCAATTTTGACAACTTAACAGGATGAAGAAAAGAATTGTTTGCGTCATATACATAGCATCTGGTTTATTAAATAAAAATACGTAGTTTTTAGATATTTTTATTAGACTTTTATGTATGTACACTACGTATTTTTACTTAATGAACCAGATGCTATATAAATTATTTTTATCTTCATCCCGTAAAGTTGTTAAAATTGAGATAGTATTGGTTGCCAGTTCACAGTCCATATTTTTTTTTTTTGTGACCATCGACTCAGTTTCATGTAAGGATCAATTCGTTGTATTGAGAGAGAAAAATCGGGACAGCAAATTAAATAAAATGTTTTTCATAGAAAATGAATAAAATTGACCAATTTATTTTTATTACCGATAAATTCAGTTCCTTATAAGAATGATTTCATTGTACGGGAAAGAATATATCGGGACAGCACAAGTTGGTCAAATTTAATAAAATGTTATTCATTTGGTATGAAAAAAACTTTTTATTAAACTTGAACAACGTCAGCTTTTATGCATTTTGTATGAAAAGCATTTTATTAAAAAAAAACATATTGTGTATAAATAATAATGTCCCAGACAGCCATGTCAATTTACTGATCTCAAAGTAGGGAATTAAAAGTACCACGAGTAACAGAGCTACGGAATTCACTCTGGTACACTTACCTAGTAACAAAATTGGTTTTCCTATAAATCTCCACAGCCTTAGAATATACTTCAATAAAAAGCCGCAAAGTCATTGCAGTATCCAGCATGTGCATGACTAAATCCCTCAACGTGTCTATTGTTAGGGACTCCTGCTTATCGGTTTCACTATTGGATGGTCTAGGAATTTCGCTGAAGCCCTCAAATGTTTCTGGAAGATTTGGCGGTTCTTCGCTATCATAGTCTTTGTTCACTTGGAGAATTATGTATTTGAACGTCTGGAATTATATAAAAGGACGATTTTAGTATCAATATTTTCACTCGCCTGAGTCCAGCAGTGGGCGTATATTTTTTTAAACGACTTAAAAAATGAAATTCTCAATTAGACTATTTGTTTTTTTTTGTTTTTGCATGCATGTTACGCGATAACTCTGGAAAGAGGGTGCCTCAGTAGTGGTCCCATTTAAATTTCAAGAAACCATACCACCGCTAAGCTAAGAGTGGCAAACTAGGAAATTCATTCCTAGTTTGCCACTTTTGAGTCTTTTGAGACTTTTGAGGTCGGTTTTTTTAGCACTGTATTATTATTTAGTATTTGTAGTAGGATCTGTATTGAGGTTATATAATACCTAGTGACGGAACGAACAAGTCGTGGGTCTGGTGGTAAACGACACGCCTATCCATAACAGTTGCAGTGCCACTCAGAGCTTTAAATCGCAAAGATCTTAGAGGCACTGCAACTGCGCCCGTCACCCAGAGACTTAGGTTGACAAGTCTCATGTGCCTGTCTTCTTTTCACCAGCCTTAAAAATGAAAATTTAAATTTATTGGTTCCATTCAGTAAATATTTGAATATTTAAAATCAAATCGTGTTTTAAATCAAATCTTGGGTGTAATTTGTGGTTGTCTATGTGTGTGTCCATGGCATCCGCGACACAGGGTTTCCCTAGCCGGGGCTATGTTGAGAGTGTGTGTGTGTGTGTGTGTGTGTGCGTTTTCTCAATTCCATAATTCTTCAGACTTCTTACGACAGTATTTGGTTTCATATGAGTTACGAGATATAACGAGTACTCTGCAGAAACGAAATCAGAGTTGTGGGGAAACCAGTAATGTTTTACCATTATGTTTACTAGGCAATTGCGCAATTATTCATTACTTATCTCGCATTTTCACTTGCGGCCTCTGCACTAAGCTCAGGCTTGTGTCCGTTTTACATTATTTTACTATAGGCACATGAATGTGGCACATGGTTCGTAAATTGAGGGAAGACATATTATATTCAATGCATTGACTTACAAATAAATGGACGACGGGTCTAATACAAAAACCACGAAAACAATGTCCCAAGTCAACCTATTTAAACGTAGTGACATGTAAAGGAATA